ATGGCATTGTCGACAGAAAACACGTGCAAGTACTTGACACCGAGCGATTCCATTTGTTTCAACGCCCCAGAGTCCACAAGGGCCCGGTAGATGCCGCCGTTGCCGTCCGGCGCGCGACTCAGTTTGCTCGGCGTTTCCAGCATCAATTTGCCTATACATCCAATTCAGGATGCACTGGGGGTTCCAAGTGTACTGTCTATACCTTCGATGGTCAGGCACGGGAGCGTGCCTTGGGAAAAGAAGACGACTTGCGCCGGCTTTAATCCAAAGTACAAGTTCTTTTGAAAGAACGACACGGTCGAGTCGTGGTTGAGCATGCTCGTCATGATGAACCACGGGATGACACCTCCACTTTCGCCTTGGAGCTTGACCAATCGCAGTGCAAACAGCTCAAACAGCGACTTTGCACTGGGCAATCCAATGTCGTACATGCCTTTGGGGCCTGAAAACCCAAGGCGGGTGCCTTGCCCCCCCGACAAGACCAACGCCGCGACTTGGCCTTGCCGGATCGCCTCGACGCCAGCCTTTGTCCAGCTGTCCTTGTCCGCGCCGCTCGATCCCGCCAAACTCGCCACTTCGTCCGTGAGCGGCGTGAGTGGTCCAGACAAGACATCGGCTGCCGAAGTGGAACCATGCAGCGACCGTTCAAAGCTGGCTTTCAAATGGTCAAAGTCAATGGACGCCAGGTCTTGCAGCAGCAATTGCGCGTCATATCTAACGAAAACGAGGCGGGTAGATATCAAAGTAGTAGTAGTAGTACTAGTATATACCTCGAGACAGTTCCATTGTCAATGAAATGCAGCACATGTTGCTGCTTGAACTGTTCCAAGCGATGGCGGATGGCCGTGGGGACGCAGTGTGCAGTGGCAGGATGCGATTTCGAGTCCAAACTCAACACTCGGGTAAGGGGTAGATCGGTTCTGTAGCCTTCCAACCCTTCTCCGGCATACGACACCAACGGCGAAACTTCCAAGTACCCGTACGCAGACGTGTTGAGCCATCGCGAGGCTTGGTCGTGGAGCATTTGTCGAGCAGAATCGGGGGAATCCACGGGGGTTCCTGGAGCGTTCTTGACGGGGGAGAACTCGTCATCTCGGTTCGAGCTCAGCACCGCCATGCGCTGCGACAGCGGAAACACGTCAAAGATAAACGACTCCAACTTGACCCCTGTATTGGCTGTGGGGGTGACCGTGGCGCCAGAGTCGTCGGCCATGGGGATCTTTTTGTGTGCGACATGGTACTGCAAACTCATTTGAGGCAGCACGACGTCGGTCAAGAACGATCTAATCGGTTTGTTTCGTCGAAACCTTGTCGCATACTAGTATATGATAAGATTGTGATCGTACGTACACTGTATAAAAGTGGTTGCAAATGTTGGCGGCGCCGTACACCAGTTGGTTGGTCTTGGGATCGCGAAGTTCGCTAGTGGGTTTGTCCATTTCGCTGTATTCAACGACACAATACTGGCCTCCGCGCTTGGCGACCACGCCCACACTCTCGTCAGGACGCGACTTCCACACGACTTTGTTGCCGCAGTCGGCCTTCTTTTCGATGCAGTACCCCATGAACACTGGGTCGGCCACTTTGCA